GTTTTATACATCTTTATGTATATATACACGTATAAATCTAAATAATGTACCGGTATTAAATATTTATAGGCATACTTAACGATATTACATTAAATTATTAATTCATCGTATTAAGTTATTAAAATTATCAGGCGACAGCACTGCCAACACCACACCATCATCATCATTATCATCATCATTTTGAACTGGCAGTAAAAACTGAACTGCATCAAAATTTACATGGATAAAAAAGCAAAATAATGAAAACAAAATAGATAAACAATACAGATTAACAACAATATAAAAACAAAAAACACATTAAACCATAACATCAGAAAAATACTCCATCCACCAAATAGCTGGAAACACGCCGAATTTGCAATTATTTATCATTAACATTTGAGTTTAACAGTCTACGATTCGTAGGGAATCAATGGTTGAGGTTCTGAAGTGCCTAATTCCTTCCAAACTTACAGTTTGGGTATCACCACCAACGCTACAGTTTTAAAATACAAAGAGTAGGCCTAAAATGATGTCAGTTTTAATATTTAATAACCAGCTAAAATAACTGCCTGATATCAAAACAGGTTCTTATTCACGTAGACGCGATAAAACAAATATACGGAACGTCTCGAGTATTATTAACATAGATTACATTGAACTGCATCTGGATACGAACTAAAGAGAAATAACATATGGTTATTCTCATGCCATAAATGTATATATATAACATATCTGGGCCTAAAATATACGTTAGCAGTCACCGTGAAGCCGTGAACATACAGTAGAACGGCATAAACGACTTCTTTTTAACAATGAAGGAAGAATGTACTTGGTTTCTATGGCTTTATTGCCTGTGTTTTACATCAGGTAGGTGTTGCTCTTAATACAATTGATGTAACTATTTAGGCCTATATATGAGCTATACTTCTATACATTGTGGCGTAACTAGGAGGTCTCATGTTTGCTGCCCGGGCACCTCTTACCCCATTTATTTTTGGTTCAAACGTAAAAGTAGTAGAATTTTAATGGAAATAAATGGCAAAGTAGGTAGTCACAGATATCGACAGTTTTGCGCCTTTTGTAAAGTTCAATGGATGTAATATTTCTATTTAGCAACCCCACCCACTTTTAAGATCCTAGATACGCCACTAAGAAAGTAAAAGCGAAACAAAGTTATTGTTTACATTGTGTATATGCCTATTAATTTTTAATAACCAATCAGGTTCTCATTCCGATTTTCAACGTGAATTTTGAAAAAAAAACAAAAAAACAAAAAAAACCTGTTTTTATAAAATCCTTATAATATATAATTCTTAGTATTCGTATCATACCTTCAAAGATTCCTATATTATTTTTTAAATCATTTTCTTGTACTCGAAGTTTGAAGTACGGTAATAATGAATTGCTTTCTTAATTTTATCAATTTAATCATCTAGTGTTGAGATTATACAATTTGTAACCATATTTTGGTCAATCAACATACCGGTAATTGATATTGAACGTCATCGTTTTTAACTTGACACAGATATGTAGTTTTAATAAGTTTAGCATACAATGCTAACCTAAACATGTTGGATAGTAGTAAACTATTCGTGAAAATAAAACCGAATTCGATTCAAATTTTCTACATAACTGCAAGGCATTCCGAGTTTCCCTAAGTTTAATTCAACAGTTTCATCTTTTTTTTTTTATTTCTTTAAATATGTTTTACCAATGTATTAGCATTACTTCTTGTTTCTTTTTAATTTTTGTTAAGCTTGTACTAATTCCCTTGTTACATTGTTTAATAAATGTATTGATGAATAAATCGATTTTAGACTTTAAAAATTTTTCTATAGGTTTTATGATAAATCACAATTGCTATATTTTATTATATTTTCAGCATATTGGACACCATCGTATACAACAGCAGGTATGAGCTAGATTTAATTGAAATTTTAAATTTTATATTAAATGGCGAAGTTATAAAATGGTGCTGCCATTTATGGGGTTTTAGAAACCTATCACTACTACTACTACTACTACTACTACAGCTACTGCTACTGCTGCTACTACTGCTGCTACTACTGCTGCTACTTTTACCACTGTTTTGTTACTTCGGCCTTAATACAATGCCTCTCCACGTCCCTTGATCATCATTCCTTTACTAGAATAGCTGAAATATTATACCGGTATTTCTAAGGAATTGACTCCATTCCTTTACAAGAGTCGTCTTTGAAATATTATATTTTCTAGGAAGTCAACCTCAAACAATAGAACGATTCATTTGCGGTAATGGATCACACGTATTCACATCTCCTGGATACCCAAGTGGATATGGTAACAACATGGACATCAATTGGACGTTCAGTACCCATCCTGGAAACTTGCTCTCTATTGAATTCAACGATTTTGATCTCGAAGACTTTGAAGATTATGTTTTTATTAGCAGTGACGGAGACAAAATTGGGGGTTACACTGGTTCCCGATTGCCGCCAACAACGGTGTCGACAAACAACACACTGACTGTTGTCTTCAAAAGTGATCACAGTGTATCAGGCAGAGGATTTCAAGCTGAAATATTCGTCTTTTCAGAATTCTCAGGTAGGTTATTAAAATTTACTTAAAGATACACAATCATATAAAATAAGTGTAATATTTTGTTGGCAATTGTAGTAAAACAGATTTTTTTTCTAAACAGATGAAATTATTTGTTCTGACTTTAATGATGGATGGTGTGGATGGTTTCACTACAGTAGTTATAGTTATTGGCGTCGTTCTTCTGAGAGAATCTCTGGTGCTGATCGAGGCAATCGCTACTCTTCATCAGGTACAGTTGCATCTCTCACCCAGTAGTCTATGCTAATTTCTCACAGTATATTATTATGTCATGATTTAATCAGCGAAGATAATGATAAAAGTTATGATGATGATAATAGTAATGATAACAATGATGATAATAATAATAATAATAATAATAATAATAATAATAATAATAATAATAATAATAATAATAATAATAATAATAATAATATGATAAGGATAATAATAATATAAATAACCAGTGTCGGCGGTGGGATTTCAATGCTCTCGACAGACAGGGCAAGAGTTGTACTTTGGCGCGAAGCGCCATCCAAGTGCCGTTGGCTCGAGCCGGTGGGAGTGTGGAGGGAAGTGTTCCCTACTCCCAAATGAGAAACGTTTCTAAAATACACTATACACTCATACATCTTGACCTAAGGATGGTGTTTTTGTATCTCATCGGCGTCTAAATAAATAATTTACAGTATATAGGACTGTCCAATTCAGGCCAACAATATAAACGTTTTGAAATATTTTTTTATTCCCCCG